CCTCACTTATTCCATATCAAGGGAAATGGGAACTAAAGAATGACATATAAATTGAATTCCCTGAACACTCAAGGTCCCTCTCAGTGCCTTTACTCTGTCTCTCTTTCACTGTCCCTCTCACTCTCTGCCTCTGAGAGGAGGAGACCACACTTTGTCTGTGGAGTGTTATCTAATAAACTTTCCTTTTGACTCCAACTTTGGCGTATGTGTTGAAGTCTTTCTACACTTTCCGCCTAAAGACCCCCTTCTCTCAGAACAAGGCGTGGTCTCCTCGTCACTGGGGAAAATTTGTCCTGTCCTGCATCAGTTTGAAAAACCAGTGAAATTGGATCCCTATGTCATACACCAGAATAATTTTAAATGAATTGGAAATCTAAATGTAAAAATAAAACCAGGCAAGTACAAGGAGAAAACATAGGCGAATTTTTATAAAATCCAAATCTAAGAACTTGACTAATTACAACTTAAAATCCAGATACTACTTAACATAAAATACTGTAAGTGTGACAAAAGGTGAATGAGAAATGACAGAAAAATATTTGCAAAATAAAACCATAGATAAAGAACTAATAGAAACAGCTGTTAAGAATAAAGATAAAAGATCAATGATACTCTCATAACAAGGACAGTTAATCCCTAGGTAGTGGCTCTTTTGCACCATTTCCCACTAAAATGAACTAGAGGTTCTTGGAGAAATGGCTGATCCCAGGTCTGAGACAGCAGAGGTCAAGGTGTTATGGAAAAATCCCAAAAGCTCCAAAAATCAGACCAGCGAAAATCTAAGCAGTAACCCAGAGAGAAAGAGAACTCAGTTTTATTACACCGGCAGTCCCAGAAGGGCTAGTGCTCTGAAAATCTGGGCCCAGAGTTTAGGGGCAATTTCACTTTTTTACCGGCTTCATTACAGTTGGCATGGCCTGATGTATAGACCCCTGAAATTGCTATGGGCTACGGGCAGTTACAGAGCATGGGATTTTCTAAAAAGCACTAAAGCAATACATCTTTTCTAACTAGCACCAAAGCAATACATCTTAAAGGGAGAGGATATCTGTCTAAAAACTCAAAACAATATATCTTAAGGGGAGGGTGAGTTCTCAGTTGACCCTGAGATCTTTGGCCTATGCTGCAAGCATGTTTACAGAAGCAGAAAAAAAAAACTGATTATAAATGTTGGCCAATTAAGTGGGAAATCCCTCTTCAAAAGTGAGCATGGTCTATCTTTTTTTGTGCCAGAAAGCAAGACAATGTTCAAAGATTGATGGAGATTTGTTAAAAGGACAAAGAAGCCAACTTGAAAGGAGTAAAACTGACCAAATGTGGGGAATTTTAAGCATAAAGAAGTCAATAATAAATTATAAAACATTAAGTAAAAACAGAATCAGTGAGTCCAAAATATTACTCAAAGAGTAAGGGAGGTTGGAGAGAGGGCAGGGGAGCTCTTGTTTAGGGAAAAATGCCAGCTAATAAATATGCAAGAAATGACAGAATTGGGAAATCATGGTTTTGCATCAATCTTCAATTTTTAAAACTTTCCAGGGAGAAATCCCCAATGGATTTTGAAACCCTTGGAAGAAAGTTGGAGAATTAGCTGCTTGATTATATTGGGAACGGTATTAATGTAGGGAGAAGGCAAGAAAATGAAAATGTTAATCAAGCTACATTCAGAGACTGCAATATGCTAATCAACCCTGCAGCCAGGCCTGGAGGACACCTTCAGAACAAAGGAAGATTTCTGCTGGGATTGTTAGCAACCCATTCCCCACACCCCGTAGAAGGGGAAACACTCAACAGAATCTTTAAGTAGCTGCCCTAC